TGCTGCTGCTGCTGCTTCTTCTTCTTATTCTGCTCCTGCTGCTGCTGCTATTGCTGCTGCTGCTGCTGCTGCTTCTTCTTCTTATTCTGCTCCTGCTGCTGCTGCTATTGCTTCTGCTCCTGCTGCTGCTGCTTCTTCTTATTCTGCTCCTGCTGCTGCTGCTTCTTCTTATTCTGCTCCTGCTGCTGCTGCTTCTTCTTATTCTGCTCCTGCTGCTGCTGCTGCTCCTGCTGCTGCTATGTCTGCTGCTGCTGGTGCTACTGCTTCTGCTGCTGCTGCTGCTTCTGCGGCTGCTGCTGCTGCTGCCACTGCTACTGCTGCTTCTGCTGCCACCGCTGCTGTTGCTTGAACTGTACGGGGGTGTGTGTGAAGGGCTGGCTGCTCACATCTGCATTAATTGTACGCCACCGCACCGACGCGGCGTTTGTCGTAACTCGCACGTTTCTCTCTCGCGCGTGTCTCAGGCTGTGGGGCGAGCCGGTGAACCTGCGTGAGCAGCACGACGCGCTGGAGTTCTTCAACAGCCTCGTCGACAGCCTCGACGAAGCCCTCAAGTCCCTCCAGCAGAAGCCGCTCATGTCCCGCGTTCTCGGCGGCTCCTTCGCCGACCAGAAGATCTGCAAGGAGTGTCCGCACAGGTGAGGACGTTTGCCGGGGCGACGACGACAGGGGGGGGGGTTGCCGGGGGCGACGATGACAGATGAGGGCGCTTGCCGGGGGCGACGACGACAGGGGGGGGTTGCCAGGGGCGACGACGACGGGGGGGTTGCCAGGGGCGACGACGACGTGGGGGGTTGCCAGGGGCGACGACGACAGGAGGTTGCAGGTGGCGACGGCGACGGAGAGTTGCCGGGGGCGACGGCAACGAAGGATTGTCGTAGGCGATGATGATGGGGGGTTGCTGGGGGCGACGGAGGGTTGCCGGGGGCGGGGGCGACGATGGCGGGGATTCATCATTGCTGGAGGCTGGTAAAAATTGGCTGAAGAATTGTTGCTACTCCTGCCATATATATAGGAGTGGCTCTTTTACAGAAAGTTGATGTATATACTTCCAAGGAACGTAACACGCACTCTGAATGATTGTGTATGTTGCATTATTTTTGTTCTCATAGCCTGTGTTTGTTGTTACACTATAATGATTATGCATATGATTGTGTATTTTATTTGTTAAATGATGTATACCTGCTATTAAATTATATAGTATTGTGTTTAAATGACTTGTTACCCAAGATTTCTACTTGGTGAAGAAAATTCCTACTTGTAAATATAGTTATTAGTATCGTATCATGATGTAAATATAGTTATTAGTATCGTATCATGATGTAAATATAGTTATTAGTATCGTATCATGATGTAAATATAGTTATTAGTATCGTATCATGATGTAAATATAGTTATTAGTATCATATCATGATGTAAATATAG